CGATGGTTTCCGCTTCATTTTTTTAGTTTGCTCCGCGTGCCCCTTGGATTGTTTGGCCTCGGGTTGCAGAGCTTTGTCAAATAAGAGGATCTTTAGGCGCATGTCCCTGTCCCGTCTTGCTCTGGCTGTCAGCTTGGAGCAATGGGGACATTTCTGGGGTATGTGGCCTTCCCCGAGGCACCTAATGCACAGGGAATGGCCATCAGAGGCAGGCATTGCCTCACGGCATTCGCCGCACTTCTTGAACCCCGGCATTTGAGAAGAATAAACTAACTACTGAAGAAAAAAGATTTTTTTTTTAAACGACTAGAACTATTAACTATATAATAATTATAACTGTAACTTTTAAACTATGTATATAAGAACTATGGGTGATCTCTCTCTGTTTTAGTGAACAGGGTTCACGAGAGAGACGTTAATCCGTCTGCGGCCGAGGACGGTCAGGAGGAACTGGCGGGAGCCGGATCATCAACGCTCAAACGGCGCGGAAAGCCACGAGCCGTACTTCGCGCATGCGTGGTCCGGCAGACTACGGCTAGAAAAGATCTCCAATCTGCGGCGCCAGGACAAGCCCTACACCTACAGTGGAGCACCCACGGGACACTGCTCAAAGAAGAACTTCTGGATCTGTGGTCACTCTGTATTAGCTCTAGAATTACCACTGTTATCCAAGTAAGGCTTGGAGCAATCAAAGGAACCATAACTGATTTAATGAGCCATTAAATGCCTACAAAAAGTGCAAGTTAATGACAACTTTGGTTGCTGGAAAGGGAACAAATGTTCCCAGAAGTATAAGAGAAGAGGGTTTATAGAAACATTAATAGATCTCTCTAATTTTCACTTTAATGTTCGTCTTACGCAAATACTGGCAAACAGCCTGAGAATCAGCATCTCTTTATGCAAGCCAAACAGCTATTAGATTATAACAACTTGTACTGAGGAAAACATTGGAATGGTTCAACTAGCAACCTAGAGGCAAAAGTTTTCATATCATCATTCCCAAATCCTAACGTTATTAAAGTTTAAACTGGCACTGAAGAGCTGGATCTATCATCTCTCTGATTCTCCTGAGAACAAGAAGGTGCTCATGACTTGAAAAACAGCCAAATCTGTTCTTGCATTGTAGTACCTTAGAGATCAGTTCCCAATTGGTGTCTCAGTTTTAAATGAACTAGTCCAAAAAAAGAAAATAGTCTCTTTGCACTTGCCAGCTAAACTGAATCCAGCAGTAATTAAGTAATCCAGCTTTTTCTTTGGAGAAAAAAAGAAACTTACATGTGGAAAAATGTGAATATCAACATGCATGGTGTAACAAAGACTGAAAATAATATAGATTCTTACTTACTGTAGTATCATAGAACCATAGAGCTGGAAGAGACCTTAGAAGGCCATCAAGTCCAGCCCCCTGCCCAAGGCAGGACCAATCCCAATGAAATCAACCCAGCCAGGGCTTTGTCAAGCTGAGACTATATCACTTGGTGTCATTTATAAAGCTCTAGTTGACCTCAAAAGTTATGATGTTTTCCCCTGATTCAGTATAAACATAAAAAAGCAACTCCCCTAGTCATTAAACCATGAGAAGGGTTTCTTTATGACGCATACCTTCAAAATTCATATAAATACCTTTATAGTAAATTTAAGCCTTAACATAGGTTGGTCTAATTTCAAATTTAATTTTAAACACATGTATTTAAAAATAAAATATATTTAATTTGCATTTAAGAAATCTGTTTTTTATTTATTTTCTACGTTATTTTTATCCATGTTGATTAGAAATAATATTTGTATCTTAGCTTAATTGGGCCTTGTAACAGCAAAAATATTAATACTTTTGTCTTTTGATTTGGGAAATGATAATACTATGAAATTCTCTCACCTATAATATTAATCATGTAATGGAAATAGCTCTCCTGCAGTAGTACAGGCAGTCCCCGGGTTACATACAAGATAGGGACTGTAGGTTTGTTCTTAAGTTGAATCTGTATGTAAGTCAGAACTGGCGTCCAGATTCAGCCGCGGTTGAAACTCATCAGTTTCAGCAGCGGCTGACGCCAGTTCTGACTTACATACAGATTCAACTTAAGAACAAACCTACAGTCCCTATCTTGTATGTAACCCGGGGACTGCCTGTACTACTGCAGGAGAGCTATTTCCATTACATGATTAATATTATAGGTGAGAGAATTTCATAGTATTATCATTTCCCAAATCAAAAGACAAAAGTATTAATATTTTTGCTGTTACAAGGCCCAATTAAGCTAAGATACAAATATTATTTCTAATCAACATGGATAAAAATAACGTAGAAAATAAATAAAAAACAGATTTCTTAAATGCAAATTAAATATATTTTATTTTTAAATACATGTGTTTAAAATTAAATTTGAAATTAGACCAACCTATGTTAAGGCTTAAATTTACTATAAAGGTATTTATATGAATTTTGAAGGTATGCGTCATAAAGAAACCCTTCTCATGGTTTAATGACTAGGGGAGTTGCTTTTTTATGTTTATACTGAATCAGGGGAAAACATCATAACTTTTGAGGTCAACTAGAGCTTTATAAATGACACCAAGTGATATAGTCTCAGCTTGACAAAGCCCTGGCTGGGTTGATTTCATTGGGATTGGTCCTGCCTTGGGCAGGGGGCTGGACTTGATGGCCTTCTAAGGTCTCTTCCAGCTCTATGGTTCTATGATACTACAGTAAGTAAGAATCTATATTATTTTCAGTCTTTGTTACACCATGCATGTTGATATTCACATTTTTCCACATGTAAGTTTCTTTTTTTCTCCAAAGAAAAAGCTGGATTACTTAATTACTGCTGGATTCAGTTTAGCTGGCAAGTGCAAAGAGACTATTTTCTTTTTTTGGACTAGTTCATTTAAAACTGAGACACCAATTGGGAACTGAAGAAGTAGTAGAGTTTATTTTCCTCTTCCAATATTTAATTAAAAACAGGTGAAAGAGGAGTGATGTTAATTCTAAAATCTTGAAGGAAATGGGACCAATTTTTACAAAGTATTTATGCTTGTTAGGCGTCTAACAGTCATTAATTTCAATGGGAATAAGGCAGCTAACCTTCAGCACTTTTTTGAAAATTCCACTAGTAATGTTATCTGTATTTTTAAACAACTAAACAGCTTTGAAAATCTGACCCATGGTTACCAGACACAGCAGTCGATTCCCCAACTATAGTTAACAGTTCCATTGTTTAATATATCTGTTGCTTTTTAAATGTACAACATGTGTTTATAAACATTTTTCCTTATGCATTCACTATATTTGAAGTAGTTTTAACTAAATTAATGCTGGCTGTGTATATCTTTAGCTGAGATCCAATTTCTATCCAAATGCAGCATGACAGAAATTGCAAGTTAGAAATAATCATCTAGTAAATAAGAAATGAGTCATTCAACATTTTCTAACACAATACAAGTGTAAAAATTACGAATCTGAAAAAATATGTATGTTGAGCTACATAATTGCTTAAATAAATATATATACATATAGTGTATCATCCAGGATAGCAAAAAAGTACCCTAAATTTGGTATACGCTATATTTAATTGCATACTGGCATGTTGTAATCATTATACCATCCAATGAAAATTAACTTTTTTTTGAGAAGAGGCAGAGATATCTAAAAAGTACAAATGTGAAGCAAGATTAACACCAAATATTTAAATCAAGTTTCTTGCTTGCTTCTTTAAATCATGATTACAATTAGTGGTTTACATCAATTTGATTTATGTCAATCCATCATGTTCCAAACATATAGTAAAGTTGTGATTCTGCAGCTTCAATCTCTCACAAAAGCTACTACAGAATAGCCACAAATATCTACTGTAAAAAAACCTTTTATTCTATATGTGCCAATCATAGCCATAAATTTACCAAAATACAGGACTATGTAGCACTTTAAAGACTAACAAGATGGTTTATTAGATGATGAGCTTTCGTGAAGTGCTACATAGTCCTGTATTTTGCTTCAGCTACACCAGACTAACACGGCTACATTTCTTTTACTATAAATTTACCAGACTCAGCTGATAAAAATGTCCCTACTTGGGGGGAAAGGGAACACACATAACCTATTTCATAGTCTATGATATGAGAGGTTTGTTCATTATCCTACAACTTTTTCACATTCATCCCTTCCACCACTCTAAACACAAGCCACTCTTGGACTATACTAATTTTGTTGTCATGCATGTCATAAAAACATTTTCTGATACAATGGCGCCCTCTTTTGGAACTTTCCCATCACTGAATTTATCCAAGTTACTCAACTGAAATGCTACAGTCACATCAATTTATGCCTATTCTTGAAGAAATTTCAGAAGCCTTTTAATTCCATTGCTTATTAAACTTTCAAAGTGCAGATATACCTCTTTTCCCTATATAATACAAGACTTTAAAGATCTGTCATGAAGACCAGAAGTTCCATTAAGAAAAAAAAAGTTTTCAGAACACTCTCATAAGCATAAAATGCACATCTCAGATGTAAGCACAAGAGCTCCACTACATGCTGACTGTGGTAATGAAACCACAAGAAGGAGACAAGAATGCTCTCAGTTCCTCCACCTTCTCCTTTTAGCTCTATGATGAACAATTGCAAACCCTTCTCTTCCCCCAAATCCAGTCATGGCACATTCCAAGATAACTGTATCTAAGAACAGATTGCTAACTGCACATTAGTACAGCACACACACACATATGCACACATTTTTGTCATACTTATAGAATTTCTTACCTACAAAATCCCAAATTCCTAAAAAATGGAAATGATTTGTTCAGAGCAAGTGACAATGAACACAGCCACCAATATGAGACATAACGGAATGCATCAAAACTGTTCCAGAGACAAAAAGGATTTTTAATGCACAGCAGTTCCTAAGCAGGAAACAAATGATAAATAGAACACACAGCTGTCTCTGGATTTCCTTCCCCCCTCCAAAGGCTCAAATAGTTCATATCTATAAAAGTATGTATTTCACCTCTGTCTGCAGGATGGCAGCTCTCTGTTCTTTAGCTGTAAGGGATTCTTTCAGCACCTCAATATGCTGCTTGCTGTCAGAGAACTGGTTTGTGAGGGTCTCCAGCTTTGTTTGCAAGGCCAGCAGCTCAGTATCTTTACGTGACAGCTCCTGTTTCACCTGACCAATCTAAAGAAGGAAACAAACATGGGGAAAAGAAAAAAGAGAGGATCAGTAATTATCAATGTATACTTTAGCAACAAAAATTAACACTCATAAAACAGTTAATAAAAGAGAATAATATTCTAAAGATCATTCACCACACAACTTTAAAGTATTTAGCTGTCTGTAAACTTAGCAGAAATGTCTCCAAAGAACATCAGGGCAAAAATCCTATTCAGTTTGTAAAAGGTGTGCATTTAAACAGATTGAAATCCCTCTTCAGCCATCCCCTACAACAGACAAACCAAAACCAACAGTTTACCGGGGTAATCTTTTACTGAATATACAACAGAACTGTACTGATACATACATTGCTCAGGTAGTAATGGTGCATTGTAAACACCTTAAGAGATTAGATGTGTTTGGGTATATTTCTGAAAGACCTCTTTGATGAGTGTTTTGCCTTTTGTCACTTGAACAGTTTTCTTTTCTCTCCCTTCCGGTCCACCAATCCCAAACCCATCTCCAAAGACAATGTCAGTGAAACCATATCTTTTATTTTTATATCTGGTAAAACTAGCATTTCCCCCTCCCCATGAGAGAAATATTCCTTTATTTAAGAATCTTTCTTAAAGCAAGTCTGAGTATAGTGCAAAAGTATTAACCAGAAGATTATAATACAGCACACTAAAAAAGCTACTTTTGGAATTGCCATGAAGACAATTCCCATGATTCCAAAAGACACCAAATCAGATTTTTGTCTCAATGAATAATGAGTAAAAAAGTTCATCTGCACAGTAGTAGAGTTATGATTAAACCTCAGTCTAAAAACAATCAGAAAGGTCCCTCACCAAAGGCTCTTATGTAAATTAAGTTGTCATGGGATAAGAGGGAAGGTCCTTTCATGGACTGAGAGCTGGTTAAAAGACAGGAAACAAAGGGTAGGAATAAATGGTCAGTTTTCAGAATGGAGAGGGGTAACTAGTGGTGTCCCCCAAGGGTCAGTCCTAGGACCAAGCCTATTCAACTTATTCATAAATGATTTGGAGAAAGGGGTAAACAGTGAGGTGGCAAAGTTTGCAGACGATACTAAATTGGTAGCTAAGACCAAAGCAGACTGTGAAGAACTTCAAAAAGATCTCACCCAACTAAGTGATTGGGCAACAAAATGGCAAATGAAATTTAATGTGGATAAATGTAAAGTAATGCACACTGAAAAAAATAATATAATATGATGGGAGCTAATTTAGCTAGAATTAATCAGGAAAGAGATGCTGGAGTCATTCTGGATAGCTCTCTGAAGACATCCACGCAGTGTGCAGCGGCAGTCAAAAAACAAACACGATGTTAGGAATCATTAAAAAAGGGATTGAGAATAAGATGGAGAATATCTTATTGCCCTTATATAAATCCATGGTATGCCCACATCCTGAATACTGCGTACAGATACGGTCTCCTCATCTCAAAAAAGATATACTGGCATTAGAAAAGGTTCAGAGAGGGGCAACTAAAACAATCAGGGGTTTGGAACGGGTTCCATATGAGGAGAGATTAAAGAGACTGGGACTTTTCAGCTCAGAGGAGACTACGGGGGGATATGATAGAGGTCTATAAAACCATGAGTGGTGTGGAGAAAGTGAATAAGGAAAATCTATTTACTTGTTCCCATAACATAAGAACTAGGGGCCACAAATGAAAGCAATGAGTAGCAGGTTTAAAACAAATAAAAGGAAGTTCTACACACAGTGCATAGTCAATCTGTGGAACTCCTTGCCTGAGGAGTTTGTGAAGGCTAAGACTATCACAGGGTTTAAAAGAGAACTAGATAAATTCATGGAGGTTAAGTCCATTAATGGCTATTAGCCAGGATGGGTAAGGAATGGTATCCCTAGCCTCTGTTTGTCAGAGGGTGGAGATGGATGGCAGGAGAGAGATCGCTTAATTATTAACTGTTCGATTCACTCCCTCTGGGACACCTGGCATTGGCCACTGTCGGCAGACAGGGTACTGGGCTGCATGGACCTTTGTTCTGACCCAGTATGGCCATTCTTATGTTCCTATGTTCTTAATCATCACCCAGGACACATTTGATTCAAACATGACTACAAGAATGTATGCTTAAAGAAATTTATTGGTTGTGGCTACAAACTGACATAAATTTAGGCCAGTGTTTCTCAAAGAGGTCCACAGACCCACTCTGAGAGCTGCTAACTACCCGCTCCCATTTGTTTATTTACCAGCTCCACAGCTGTGGAGCCTCATGGCTCCCCTTGGCTGTGGTTCGCCGTTTGCAGCTTATGTCCACAATGCTTCCCATAGCTCCCTTTGACTGCAAACAGTGAACCACGGCCAAGGGCAGCCATGAGGCTCCAGTAAATAAACAAATGGGAGCGGCTAGTTAGCTGCTCTCTCAGAGTGGGTCCATGGACTACTTTGATAAACAGTGACCTAAGATTATAACTGAAAATTTCCAGTTTTGCATCCTCCCCTAAAAACAGTAATTTAGACCTACATATTGATCTAAGGAGGAGAAATAAGTCTTCATAAAAACCGAACCAGAAGAGAAATGTTTTAGAACAATTTACAAATAACTTCTCCAGAAGTGCCAGAAACTGAAGCCCAATAGCATGATAAATGCATGCAAACCAGAAAGTGAAGCAGATTATAAACTAAAATAAAACTGACCAGTCCAATTATGTTTTCCAAACTGAGTGAAATACACAACATGAAAAAAAACATTTTTTTAAAAAGAATAAACTATATTTTTAAAACGGATCAAAGTATGGAAGTGGACAGGTTTGTATCTTGACAATAGCCCATTAATACATCACCAGCGACGCAACCTGTGTGTCCTGTGGAAAAATAGTAGATAGGGAAGATGAATCCTTGTGTGTAGGAACTGGAGATAATTAAAAATTTATTTCTCCATTTTTTAATGGAGAAACTGAAGTTAGCGAATTTCATTTTAGATTACTATTAAATGGTAAATCATTAACTTAATTCTAACTTTAAATGTTCATCTTACACTGGATTCTAGACACCTTAATTCTTTTTACTGATAGTAAATATTTCAATAAAAAAATCCCTACATATAGCAGAATGGCACTTAAAGTGTAGATTGTAACAGTTTCTGCCATCAGCCTCTCAAACTTATTTTCCTACATTGCAAAAACCAGATGCATTAGTTATCTTAAGTACAACGTAAAAAATGGAAAGCAATTATAGCATTTGGGGCCAGTTCAGTTTTCTTACCATCTCTCAACCAAAAAAGTATAAGGTTCAGTTGGTATTACATTCTCCAATTTGGAGGCAACACAAATTAGAGTAAAATCACTGGTCAGTTTAGCTTTTGAAAAAAAAAAAAAGAGAGAATTTATTTTGACTCCACCTGAAGAAGAGAGAATTTGACCAGTTTAGCCTAGATATTTAAACCTGATGAAATGTTACCTGCATACAGGTAGCAAGTAATATTAATAGTCACAGGCAATGCCATAAATTAAATGTCCCCACAAATAAAAATTTTAGAGCCTTGAGCTACCAATCTATCATGCTCAAGCTCTTTAGGAAAGAATGCAGCGCATACCATTCAAAGCTGCACAGGAAACGAAAGCAGTATGAAGTGTTACTGTTCACATCTCTCTGCTCTTGGACACACACTGATCACCCAGCATAGTGACGGTATTTTACAGTAAGCAAAAACCTACACCTATTGCAGAAAAGCTATAGGGCCAGATTTTCAGAAGTGCACAGGCCTCATTTAGGCAAGAATATATTTTCAAAAGTGTTCAACATCCAGCTGTTTCCACTGTTATATTTTTGGGCAGGTATTCAAAAGAGCTTAGCACATATTTTAGGCAAACTAGTCACTTATTTTGGTGCCTAATTAAAACTGCAGCTCTTTTGAAAAATCTAACTCCAATTGTGGATACTGAGCACTTTTGAAAATGTGTCCCAATTTGAAAGGACAAACTACTATTAAGTTAAATCATACTATTTAAGACAACAAATATGGGTATTCAGAGTGTGTTTTGAACAGAGATGCTACACAGGCCAAGCTGATGTGAACAAGAGGCAGATACAGAGCAGAGCAGACTGGTTAGTTCTAGTGTCGTGTGAATTTGGGGAGAAAAGAAGAAAAGCTACCAGAAAGCCACAGACCTAGCAAAGACCCAGTGAATGGCCACTGCACACAAAGAGATGAATCTTACGGCAGAGACCTCAGCCTGGAGACCAGCCACTCTCTTTTTCAGCTCCTCCCCTTGGGTCTCTTTGGCACTTAGCTCTTCCTTCAGTTGCTCTACCTGCCACGACATTGTAATTCTTTTCAGTGTTTACCATTTATTGTCTTCTAGTTGACCTGTTTCAGCCATTATAGTGCCTAAATGTCATAAAGCAATATCATTTCCCTCCTCCCTGCTATTCAAGTTCTTATATTTTCATAAGTTCCCAGGCAAGAGTTTTATCACTATACTTATAAAAATTGACACTACAAACATGGTTAAAAAGTGATGTATAGGTTTGAGATCTAAAGCAGTGTTTCTCAACCAGTGATACAAGTACCCTAAGGGGTACTCAAGAGAAGTCTGGAGAGTACGTCAACACAACTGAAATTTAGAGAAAACTGAATTTTTGCTTTAAGTTTTACAGCACTTTATTATTTTTGTACTTTTTACACCCAAAAATTTTATTGCCTGCCCGGCTACAGTTAAGTTGTTTAAACAAATGTGTTGCAATGTAGAAAAAAATGTGTGTGTCTGAAAACTGTAGGTACTGGGAGTGGTTTTTTTTTGTTTTTGTTTTTTAAGGGAGTACTTTATAAAAAAAGGTTGAAAAACACTGATCTAGAACACACTAGCCAACCATTCTGAAATTTGGACCAAGTAGAAAATTAAAGACAGAAATAGCTAGAGAAAAATTCTTCACTTCAAAAGGTGTAAACTGGAGTAATATGCCAGGAAGCATCTGTTGATTTCAACACAATACATTATTAGAAGGACAATTATGTGTATTTACTAAGCAAGACAAAACAGAGGAATGACGACAAAACAACAGGACAGTGGCTGGATATCAGCAACAAAAGGAATAAAGCTGTTAAAAGGGTAGGGAACAAGTTATCAGCAGGAGAGAAATGTGTGTTATGTATGGAAAAGGTCCAGAAATTGGTCACAAAGGGAATAAGCTCATAAGGTCTGTAAAGGGGGAAGGACTAGGTGACATGACTTTCTAACATGGGGAGGGGGAAATACCTAGTTATGGTAAGGCAGTGTGAAGGCTTAGTGATTCAAATAGTCTTTGCATATGCCAAAAACATCCTTCCATCCCTTTATTTGCTAGTGGTAACTCAACAGGATAAAAAGCAATACAGGTTGAATCTCTCTCATCTGGAACCCTCAGGGATCTGGCCGCTGCTGAACTAGGGATGTAATAAGATAGCTGATTAACCGATAAGCAAAAGCTTATAGGTTAATGCTATAGACTACATGCATTTCTCTCCCTCCTCCCCTACCAGTACTTTTTTTTAGTGGTCTGCCCAGCAGCCAGGCTCATGCAGGATCTGGGACCTTCTCCACTATGGCTCAACATTTAAAGTGTATTAACTGAGCCTGACTCAGTTCTGGCTCATGCCAGGTTCAGGAGCTCAAACCCACCCCAAGGCAGGAGCTGCTGCCAACCTGTGCAGCTGCCTCTTTATCAGAGACAGCAGCACACAATGACAGGCAGCCAGTCCACAAGGGAAGCTAGTTTTTAAACTGGCTCCCCTCGCGGACAAGCTCCCACCTGGTACCCCATGCGCCTGTTTCTGATACAGAGACAGCAGAGTGCAGTGGCAGGGGGCTCCTCAAGAGTGAAGCCAAAGCGCACTGGCTGCCGGCCCCAACCCCGGGGACTATAGAATAGTCGACTAATCGATAAGAATTCATGAGGTTACTCGACTATTCAGTTAACAGATACCTTACATCCCCATGCTTAATCCGAGAATTTGCTGAACCACAGGAGGTCAATATTGTCTAGCAGCATTACCAACGCTTCCACTGCTTATTAGGGATGTTTAGCTGATTAAATGCAATTTATTGAGTAGTCGATGGAATTTCCACTGACTACCCAATTAGTCAATAATGAGGGAAACTGCAGATCTGCAGCACGTTAGCTCCCGGCCCCAAGAGCTAATCCCTCTGCGGCTCTGCCTTTTAAATGAATTAAGACCACCAGGCTCTTGATACATTTAAGAAGAGGCGAGGAGGTGGGATGAGCCAGGAATTAGCTGTCCTGGATCATGTCTCGGTCCCAGATGCTGTGCCTCTGCTTTTTAAATATATGAAGAGCTGCATACGCTTATCAGGTAGTCAACTACTTGCTTACATTCCTTCTGCTTACTGAACTTGTAGGGGACATTTAGGGGTAAATTAAAACTATATAAGAGCACAGAACAAAGTAGTGGCTATAAATAAACTTTATGGGACTGCAAAAACTTGACCACACTCATAATAAGTAGACACCAGGCTAACTAAAGTCATGCTGGACTACAGATGTTGCTGGACCAGAGAGGTTTAACCTTTATTAAAACAGGTGTTTTTCCTGGAGTGAGTCAAAATACTGGAGTGGTGACGGCACTAAAAAGTCTTATTACATCTTACATTTCTGCTTGTAATCTTTGTGTTTAACTTTCTACAACAGGTTAGAACTGTATTGTTTAAATAAATCATTTCACGGAAGGACAAACACAGTAATGAGTGTTCCAAACTATGTAGCAGAAAAACTATGAAATGACCTTAACCTCTACACAGTCCAACAAGCAGTGTTTACACCAAGCTCAGTACCAAAATACCTGCATTTCTCAGGGCCATCTTGCAACACAAACATCCCCATAAGTTTGCATGAATCTTGGCACCACTGCTGAAGTAGAATCTGTTCGTTTTATGACAACACTGGAAGGACAGTGCAGTAGAAACCTATTTGCTACAGTTCCTGCTCGGCCCAGTCTTGAAATAATGCTAAATCTCATGCCACAGTGATCCAGCAAGTCAAATAGGTAGAAATACTACTATAGTATTAGTTTAGTAAGACTGCTAAACTAAGAGCACTTACTGCATGGCAAGCTAGAGTGTCAGCCTACAGCACTCCAATATAAAACATATTAACTTTCCATATGGACCTTGTTAATGCGCATTAGGGAACTTTTAGTGTGCATCAGTGGAGTTAACACAGATAACATATGGCGTGCTAGGGCATTGTAGATCTATGACCCCTCTTGCCATGAATTAGGTGTGTGTGTACATGTGCCATTAATTAACCTGAACTACAGTATAAAAAGAACTAGGAAGGTCCCAAAGATACCCACAAATCTAATTTAAATAATAAAAGCTGTGAGTATGAATCTAAATGCAGACTCTGGCCCACTGATATTACTGAGTACACAGCTGTATAAGTATTGGAGGGGTAGTCGGCATCCACGAAAACACTGAGGAATCCTATGGCACCATAGTAGATTTATTTGGACTAAGCTTCAGTGAGAAAAAACCCACTCCGAAGTTGGGTTTTGCCCATGAAAGCTTAAGTCCAAATAAATCTGTTAGTTTTTAAGTGCCACAGGACTCCTCATTGTTTTCACAGTTCTACACTTTTCCTTAAATATTCCATGTTCCTTTTTTAAATATTCTGAGGCTAGTCCAGTGACTTTCAGAGTAGAATGCAGATGCCTCCTCTCCTATCTCCCAATGCTTGCAGTACAAGACAGGTCCCAACTCTCTCCCTTGATTTGATGACTGAATAAGAGTTCTTCTCCCACGTGTTCCTTAAAGCTCACTGTTATTATCATTGTTCTCTCATTACCTTGTTTTTCATGAATTTGGAATGACTACGGTACACTTCCATTTGCTTCATTTCCTCCTCACGCTCTTCAGTGCTTAGAGCTCCATTCGACTTCAGCATTTGAATCTCCTCTTCCAAGTCACGGAGGCCACGTTCCATGGAGGAGATTTTTGAGTCCTGAAAAGAGTAAGAGGGGTGGGAAAGCAGTGTATTGTTAAATGACTCATTAACACACCATGAAAGCAACAAAGTATATGAATGTACCAGTATTGTAAATGCACCTTAATAAACATTCCGAGTAATTATTCTGCACCTTTTAAAACAGCATTTCTCTGAGCAGCTAAAACGTGTTCTTCATTCTGCAAGTAAATTTAATCTTTTGAACTAGATTGTGGCTATGTGCGGCATATGGAATGAATACTAAATAAGAGAATATGAAATAGTCACTTGGCAGTCCTGAAGCCATATATACGAGAGAAATTATTATAGTGACAGTAAAACAAATTACAATGGCCACATCAATACTAGATCAGATTCATAGAGACCTCAACCCCTAACTGTGCCACAAGTATGAGAGAAAAGAGCTTGTGAAACAAGTTTCTCATTGCTTCTACAGATGTGACCTAAGTGACAAACAAGGAACACAATCAACAGCATAAAGCAGGGAATGGGTGCACCAATTTGGGATGTGAAATGTTAACTGGTTAAGTATCACCCATTGATGCTTACCATTCTGGTTAAACAGTGGGGGCTGGAATAGCCTCCCCACCCACCATGGGAAGAGGGCTGCTCCAGCCCTCCGGGGCCCACAACGGACAGTGCTGTTATGGACACCCAGAGTAGCCCCTGTCTGTGGCAGGCCGGGCCCGGGCACATCACAAGCAGAGGCTGCTCTGGCTGTCCAGCCCAGCCAGGCTGGAGCACCCCACCACCTTTTTAAAAAATCAGTTGACTGGTTAAACCAGCACATTTAACAGGTTAGCCAGTTAAATGGGATTTTACATCCCTAGTACCAACATCAATCTATTCCTGAATGGACGAACCTATAGGGGATGTTAAGTTAGTTCAAGTCATATGTAGACTTTTTCAAACATTTTTACATAGTTAAAAATACATACATGTTACATGTACGGAAACCTCCGGAGGGTTGAAATGATACCCTGGACTTCTACAGTGATTGCTTCTGCAAACATGCACAGGCTGACATTGTAAACAAACAACATCAGGTGACACGTAACCTCAGCTGTGCAGAATGCAATGCTATCTAGAGTCTCAAAAACAACTCTGACATAATCAAAGAGACTGACAAAGGGGGTGCTGTAATCATCACGAGTAGATCAGATTACAAATTGGAGGCTGTCAGGCAACACCACCACCACATTCTACTAACACAGCTATCATTCTGATACTTGACACATTCTACAGGTCTCTTTGCTCTGATCGCATTGAGGAATACCAGAAGAAACTACACCATCTGCTCAAGAAACTTCCCTCTACAGCTTGGGAACAAATCTACACAGACACACCCCTCAGCCCCAACCAGGAGTCTTCTCATACCCAAGATCCATAAACCCTGAAATCCTGGACATATCATTATCTCAGGCATTGGATTCCTTGCAGCAGGATTATCCTGCTATGTTGACTCTCTCCTCAAACTCTGTGCCACCAACACTCCTAGCTACCTTCAAGATATCACTGACTGATGGTCACATGACCACCACCCTATAGTGGAAACCTACGGACTACTATTCTTACCTACATGCCTCTAGTTTCCATCCAGGACACATTACACGATCCATTGTCTACAGCCAAACCCTAAGATACAACTGGATCTGCTCCAATCCCACAGGCAGACATATATGTAAAGGATCTTTATCAAGAATTCTTAGAACTTAAATATCCACCTGGGGAAGTAAGGAAACAGACTGACAGAGCCATATAAGTACCCAGAAGTCACCTACTTCAAGACAGGTCCAACAAGGAAAGACAGAACACCACTGGTAATCACCTACAGTCCCTAGCTTAAAACCCTCCAGTACACACCATTGACAATTACAACCTATCCTGGAAAATGATTCCTTACCCTGACAAACCTTTGGAGACAGGCCAGTACTAGCCTACAGACAGCCCCCCAACCTGAAGCAAATACTTACCAGCAGCCACACACCACACCAGAGATACACTTTCCCAGGAACTATGCCTGCAACAAACCTCATTGCCAACTGTGTCTATATAGCTGTACAAGCAACACCATCACAGGATTTAACCACATAGGTCACCACACCAGGGGGCTTATCCACCTACACATCCACTAATGTGATATATGCCATGAAGTGCCAGCAATGCCCCCCTGCTGTATATATTGGCCAAACTGGACAGTCTCTGCATCAAAGAATAAATGGAAACAGACATCAGAAATGGTAACACACATAAACCTGTCAGGGAACATTTTGAAAAGTAGCCATTCTTCTACAAAATAATTGTATCACCCAATTACAGAGGGAGACATCTGAACTGGAGTTCATTTACAAGTTCAACACTATCAACTTAGGCTTGAATAAAGACCTAAACTGGTTAACGTAATACAAAGGAAATTACCCCACCTTTGATATTTACATGTCCACATCACAAGCTATAAATGAGACACATCCAGCCTGATTCAATTAGCTTCATTAACACTGATCCTACAACTGACAGGTAGCTTCTTTTGGTATTGTATATACCCTGGATTCTGTAATTTCTACTCCAACTTATCTGAAGAAGTGAGTTTTACCCACGAAAGCTCATGACCTAATACATTTGTTAGTCTCTAAGGTGACACAGGATGGCCTGTTGTTTTTAAAGTAACAGACTAACATGGCTACCCCCTGAGACTTTATAATGTCATAAGTAAGCAATGCAATCTATTGTCTTTTTCATACTAAGTGGTCAATCCACTTAGTTTTTTGCTGACATGGCCTGTTTCAGGTGTTGGAAACAACAGGAAGAAATGGTTACTGTTACTGTTGTGTAACCATGTTTCTTCAAGATATGTTGCATATGTCCATTGTATTCCAGGGAAATCTGATTGTCTCAGAATCTGAGGAAAGCGAGCAGCTATTCACTGGTGGGAGGAAAACAGAGTAGCAGCAAAGTGGAACTTGATAGAACAAATGGCAAGACCTTGCTGTTTCAGGAATACCAAATCGTACAACGCATAATGCAGACCCCTGGCGGCACAAACCTTTCACCCAAAAAGGTCCGAGGGGGACCAGGGAGGTAGCCCAGCGGAGGATACTGCTCTTCCTGTGCCAACGTCAGGGTAGACGGCACTAAAGAGCTTTCCTCCATTTCTCCCATGAATGCAGGCACCACCATAGAGGAGGGAAGGCCACTGAGTGCTGACACTACCAATGCCAGTCTTGACTCTGGTGATATGTCCACCAAGTCCAAAAGGGCCAGTTCATGGATGCCTGCCATGGGGTGAATATTTAATGCCAGTCCAGGGGGGCACTGATCCCGATGGTGCCAGGGAGCAGTAACAAGGAGACACCAATAGCAGTCTCGGTGCCAATGACAGAGGCCAGCAGTAGCGATGCCACAGTGCCTGGTGCAATACCCAATGGCACCCAATGGTGGTGCTTTACGGTGTGAATGCTTCTTAAGTGCTGAGTCACAAACCGACACTGGAGAACTATACACCACTGATGCCAGGGATAGTTCCAGTGCCAAGGGCCGCAGTTCCTCCTCCATTAAGAGGAGCTTAAGCCAGTGGTTCCTCTCCTTTTTGGTATGGGGATGGAAGCTCCTATGAAGCAGGCACTTGTCCGTTTGGTGTCCCGCACCCAGACTAGGGATGTTAAAATTAGATTAATCAACTAATCGAATAGTCAATGGAATTTCCATTGACTATTCAATTAGTCGATAAGGGCGCTTCCAGTTTGAAATGTAGCAAAAGCCTGCTGGACTGTTACTATATTTCAAAGGTGGAAATGCCGGGTGGTGTTCCACCTTTGAAATGTACAAAGCCCCAGCAGGGGCTCTTGTGCATTTCAAAGACTTAAATGCCACATGCAGGCTGGAGCCAGCGAGGGACTCTCTAAGTCCCCTACTAGCCCCAGGCTCCATGTGGCGATTCCCCTTTGAAATGTACAAGAGCCCCTGTAAACCTCATTTTTTGAGGAAGAAGGTTCTTTCAAAAAAGGGTTTTTTTTTCAAAAGAACCACGTCTAGGCTGCTTTTTTCCCTTCGAAAAAACCTCTTCCGAAAAAATGATTGGAAGAGGATATGCAAACGAAGCATGTGAACATCCTAATCAGCGCTTCATTTGCATTTCCTTTTTCCTCATTTGCATTTCCTCTTTCGCAAGAGGAAAGCAGTCTAGACACAGCTTGTGTTCGCTACCAATACCCTTTATAAAGTTCAGAAAATACTGTGTTGGGGAGGAGAGGGAAATCACATCATTAAAAGGCTCCCACTTATCTCCCCATACCATCCTTATAATACAATGGACTTTTGGCTAATTATCTGGAAACTGTAAATCCCACTCCAGATAGATGAGATAAACTAGTTCTTTAACTTGCCTGATGAATGAAAAGATCCATTTTTTCCCCATTAGTACTACAGGCAAATGCATTATATCTGTCTGACTTCTCATGCTTTCAGCTACCTGAAATATTCCACACTCTGTTCCAAAAAAATAGGTCTCCTGTCTTCCAGTGTGGAGTATCTTACCTTCATCTCAATAACAGTTTGCAGAGCTTTTGTCTTGGCTGAGTCAGGGGCATTTTCAAACCGACGATGCATCTCCTGCAATAGAAGAACAAGAAGGAAATAGTGAAAATGATATTTTGTACCACCTCCATGGACTTCAGCCAAAGTTATCAGAACCTTCCTTCTCTCTAATGCAGCAGAATTCTACCCCTTTACATTATTCTGATGTTCCCAGTCCTTCACTCTTGCATAATATGACCTTTTACATCACTGGGCAGGCTCCAGTCTAGCGAATAGAACTCTAGCTGAGTTACACAGGCACAATACAAACTTGGTCTTTGACCACAAAAATAAAAATATCCAAAATAAACTGTAAAACTGACACACACAAAATCTGCCCTGCCTTGCTCGTAAATTAATCCTCAGTTGTTTTTAAAGGCAATTGGCCTCAAACAGAAGACAGAACTATTTAAAAGAAGATTAACAAAAATAGCAATAATCTGGTTTATGTTTAACACGCTGTTGTGAGCATCTGTGTTGATAGCGCTTCTTTCCATATTTTCTACCCCCAGAGTAGCAACCACCTAGTTACCTATGATGAAAATCTCCCTCCACAGAGGCTCAAAGTGTAGCTGAAAAAAAAATGATTGGATAGCAAGTTGCTCTAGTGCAAAGGGGAGACTGACAAATGCCTGTCTGATATTTCTGTAGATATGAAAAGAGCATGCACTCAGGTTGCTAGAGTGTTCCAGAGAGCTACCTAGATAATACAAACAACAGCAAGCTGAACTGCTCCACCGTACTTTCCAAGTTGCTGCAGGATACAAATAGATAGCTGGAGAAAAAATTGATCTGTTATAGTTGTGTGCCCTTTTCTGTATTCACTTAAAAAATGAACAGCAGGGGCTTAGATGTTAAATGTAGGTATCACTCTCAAATCACATACTATGATATTAAATACAGTGAGAGAAATGCAGTCAACAAAAACGTTGCTAAATCCCAAATCCACTGTGCAGGGGTGCATAAAAATCTAAATTGTGATTGCAATTTATCTAATAAATAAATACTTGCATAAGCCATAAAGTCATGAACATTTCCTAGTCCAGACCAAACAAAAATTTACTCACACTTTCCATAAAAATGGTAATGAAAAAGACAGTATTTTATTTGCTAGTCAAAATGCAAATAGTCCTTGCACTCAAATGAACAAGCAAGCACAACTTGCAAAGCCTATGTATGTACTCCTTTCAAAAGATATGCAAAGGTATTGCTTAAAACTCTGTCAAGTAGGTAAGTTTTCTATTGCTGAAACAGAAGCAGAATAGTGAACTTATTTGACAAAGGTCACAATGGGAGTCTGAGTCAGAGCAAGATTTAGCACTCTGCAATGCATGAGTTCCAAATTTTTAGACCACTCCATTTCTAAAACATAGAATTTTCCAAATGTTTATAGAAAAGGCTACCCTATAGCCAAAAGTCAGCATAAGGTATGCAATTCCAGCTATGTAAATGACATTGAGCTTTGGTGTCATCTTCACAGCAAGAGTAAACAGGAAAAATGCTCCTCTCAATTGTCATTACTTCTCATGACAGCAAAGCGTACCAGCACTGAGGGGGATGCCCTCAGTATTTCACTTAGCAAGTCCATAGAAAGCCCGCTAAATCCAATACTGAATGCCACAGCATCGATTTTCAGGCAAGTATAGATATGCCCTATACCTGTATATGATGACAAAGATACTTCCAACAAGGTGTGCGTGAATAAATTTTCCGTGTTCTTTCTGGGAAACTATTCTTACAGATAGATTTTTAGTTTAGACTGACATTAGCAAAAGTCAACAGATAAATAAACCAGAAAAAATCCTAAAAATACTACTCTCAAACTTGACAGTCAAGCAGAGAGTTTTTTGTCAATGTTTTCACTAAGGCCACATACAAGAAAAGTCACACAAAAATAACAAGTGTAAATTCCATAAATATCTGTGACTTGACTAAAACCTGTGTGAAACCAGAAGCCCCAATTTACATCTTTAAAAATACCAAGATTAAAACCCCATTTTTACAACTCCATCAGTAGTGGAAATACATTTAACGGGAGGTGAAGAGAGAACAGAGGTTGAATTCTCTGAATTTTATAATTAAAAATCATTAAGCTTTCTTTGACTTTTTAAGTTCTCAAACATCTAGGCTGTGTCCAGACTCAGGGGTTTTTTCGAAAAAAGTAGCCTTTTTTCGAAAAAACTTCCCCTGCGTCTAGACTACAGCCGCGTTCTTTCGAAATTAAATCGAAAGAACGCGGCTTTTCTTTCGACGGCGGTAAACCTCATTTCACGAGGAAAAACGCCTTCTTTCAAAAGTGCTTCTTTCGAAAGAAGGCGTTCTTGAATGTAAATAGGGCTTCTTCGAAAGAGAGCATCCAGACTCACTGGGTGCTTTCTTTCGAAAAAGCGGCTTGCTCTTTCGAAAGTTCTGCGTGCAGTCTAGACATAGCCCTAGGTAGGGGAAAGAGGAAATAGTACCGAAGAAAATTCACTGAAATTTTTAGCATGTGGAAAGACTCCCATTAATAGAAAGTGTCCTGTTTTGATCAACAAAAATTTTCCTTAACAGCTTCTGGCACACAACTTACATAACTTCCGTTTCCAGTAGGAAGAAATGCAATAACTATTACAAAAGGGAAAAAAAATCTTTCCATTATGTTCAGTGAAAGAGAGAGACCTGGAAGAGCCCAGGACAAATACAGACTCTGCCTAAATACTGTACTGTATCGTACAGAGTGTTATTTTTATTCCAGTAGTACCCACTATATGCTCAGGGCTGGGCAAAATACGGCCTGGAGGCCAGATTCGGTACGACAAGCCACCAGATCCGGCCCGCAGACCATCCTGCCAGGACCTCAGTAATGCAGCTGCCGCAGTTTAAATCACAGTCCCTGAGTTTCTCTGCTCTGCCAGGAGAAGGAGGTTTTGTACCATCTCCCCACCCCCAGCCCAATCCTCAGCTCCTATTGGCCAGAAACAACCGGCCAATAAGAACTGACCTCAGCCAATCTCTCAGCTTCTATTGGCTAGAAAAAGCCAGCCAATCAGAGCTGAGAGATTGGCCTGAGAGACTGGGGTAGCTGGAGTTGAGAACCACATGGAGGGTGCAGTCTGTATTTTCAAGCTGTCTGGGGCTGCAGCAGGAAGGGAACCCTACCTGCCTTGGGGCAAGACACTTTGGTAAACTCCTCCCAGCCAGCACCTGCCTCTGGCACCCCAGCCCCCTCCCCCAGATCACCATTCAAGCCCTCTTCAGGTAACAACTCCCTCCTAACACCCTTACCCCAGGCCAGAATCCTTTCCTGCACCCACACTCCTGCCATGACCCTACACCCCAATCCTGACCCAGGTTACAACCCCCTCCTCTACCCAGAACCCTCTCAGACCCCACAGTCTCCTGCACCCCCCCATCCTTCAACCAATGCACCCTTCTGCACCCAACCTCCAACCTAAACCCTGCACCCCCTCCACAGAAAAGTGCAGCCCCTGACCACTTACCAAAGTATTGGAATAGCCCCCCACCAAAAATTATTGCCCATCCCTGTGCTAAGTATTTCCTAAATATGCAGATATTTCCTGTCCCAAGACTATAAAAAATGGGATAAAAATAACAACTAAATGGCTGGAAACAGATATAACACACCATAAAGGCAGTTTCTTGCAGCCTTTATCTGAGAAGCTCTAATACCTACCTTATTTGCAAGAGGTCTTTGTTCTTTGGCAAAGGAAAATGTCACACGAACACAGGGAAGCCTTTTGCTTAGCCAATGAAATTCCACTCTGAATTGGTTGAGTTATAAGGTGTTGAAAATCAACATTTCTCATCTCTGGATTATGGTATCAATGCTTAATTTTGATCTCTTGCCCAAACTGCAGCATTGAAACAGCAGTGGAAACCCGGGAACAGAGACTCAATCCAACTGCCTTTGTTGCAGCAATGGAGAGACAGACGGGCTGGGCTCAAAGACACCATAGATGACAGTAGAACCTTATCTCTCATACCCTTCAGGGGTACAGCAAGAAACTATTGATCAGAGAAAATAAATAATAATTAAGCAACAGAGGATTAGGAGATTGTGAATTCTAATATTTAGTTCTACTGACTTAATTTTGTATCCTTGCACAACCTTTATTAAGCAATGACTTATATCCTATTGAGAGGTTACATCGGTAGAGAACAGAGCTCAGCTCTTCAATATATCAAATCCAAACAGCGTGGTCTTAGCCACATTGCCTCTCAGAAAGAAAATGCCCTATCTTTGTCATTGCATATGCAGTCTGTGAAAGGGGAATGCTGATCTGCTGATCACAAACTATTTCCAATGACTAGATCGCAGAAGATAACTGTTAGTCAGCAGGAGAAGGCTAAGTCCTCATGCTCAAGTAGCAGAAGTATGTGCTGCTGTGTTGAAGAGTCATGATTTGTATTGCACTGATAATACTAGGAAACTGCAATTTACAGTAAAGGGAAGTGAATGACACACCAGAGAAATCTATTCTAACCCTACCTTTACCACTGACTTTCTATATAACACTGGGCAACTCATAAGCCAAAATCTTGATTGGTGGCCACTTAAATTGTGTGCCGGCTTTCATAAAGGAAGCAGGTGTGTACTGTGCAACATCATTTTTGTACTAACATCATTGAGCAATGCACTGAATGGCAGAGCCAGTTGTTCATTAACATTATTGTTTTCGAAAAAGCCTTTGACAGCATTTATAGGGATAGTCTTTGGTGTATTCTGAGAGCATTTGGAATACCACAACAAGTAGTACAGCTAATTAAGAGCTTTTATAACCATTTCACATGCAGCGTGGGGAACAATGATCTACGCTTCAAAGTTAAGATTGGACTAAGGCAGGGATATATCATGTCTCTGATGCTCTTTAACTTAGTCATAGACTGGGTTATGCAGCATACAATAGAAGATGAGCCAACAGGCATCAAATGGACTGTCTTCTCCATATTAGAGGACCTTGATTTTGCTGATGATCTTATGCTGCTCTCCCATACGCATTGTCATATACAAGAGTAGACAAATCGACTCTGCACCT